TCTTATGACATCGAATAAGTGCATTAAGTGCATTTACTGCTCGAGGGTCGCCAAATCCTTGACAGTTCCAACAAAGAATATTCATGGTTGTGGGTGGGCCTGGGTCTCAGGTCCCACCGGAATAAGGAATAACATCTGAATGAACTCCAAGTACTTCATTAAGAGAGTCATCCACAACCTCCATATTTGTTACTACAGAGTTATGCAAAATAATCACATTGTCAACCCTGGCCATTTTTTTGCCTTCTGCCACAAGCATCGTTTCATAATCACATTGTCAACCCTGGCCATTTTTTTGCCTTCTGCCACAAGCATCGTTTCATCTTCATTTAAATTCTGGTCCAACAAATCAATTACTCCACTTGCAGAATCCATTGTCATAAGCCCACCATTCGGCCCTTTTTTAAATAAATTAGCTGCAGCGGAAAATGGTAAGTTGACTTTCAAATTTAAAGGATAATTCTTATCCTTTGAACCATTAAAATCACGCAACTGCATAGAAGCATCGATCACGGAACCAGCATATGGATTATCTGAAATTTTGTTACCATATTTGTCACGGAACCAGTGTCGATCATCCGCTGTAGCACCTCCTTGCTGGACGTTCGCCCTCAACCAATGACCCAACCCCTCTCCACTTCGCCGTCGACTTGAAACAACACTTCACAGATACTGTCACTATGACCTAAGTGACCGCATATGAAGCAAAACTTGGGGAGTCTTTCATAGGAAAAAGTCACAGTGAAGATACTTTCGTCTACCCTCCTCATTTTCTTCCACCCTTTGAGCAATTTTGAATGTCTATAGCAACTCGGATTCTCATATACTCCCTCCTCTCCCTATCTTCTTTACCAGTGTCAAACAAAATAAATTTCCCAACAAAATCGCCTATCTGCTTCCCAAATTGCTCAATCATCGTACCCACCGGAACTCCTTTGATCTAAACCTAGACTTCCACTAAAAGTAATTCGATAGTTCATGGATCTTATCCAGGTTTGATCTTTTCAATCATAAAAAGCTAGTTGTTGAACGTCCAAGGCGAGCCATTCCAAACTCTATTAAAATCCACATTATGGAAGAAACGAACCAAAAATACCTAGGGATCAATCTCCTCAAAATGGATTCCTCTACCTGGTTGCCAAATTCTAGCCAAGGTGGACTTCATAGCACCAAAATTCAGTCTTCGATAGAACAAAAGACAGCCCACCAAACAAAGAGAATAATCGACTGGTTCCTCCTATATTGCTGGGGCATCAATGATAGCATCCTCATCATCCTTAATCGTTAATGCTACAAGGTTCGAAACCTCATTCGGATCCACAGAAGAACTAGCCATAATTTCAAATAAAAAACTGCTCATACAAGAGACGCAAGAAAGCACATATCAAATAAAAATCTGCTCATGCAAAAGACGCAAGACAGCTCACATGCAAAAAACGCAAGACATAATAATGATTAAGAGAGACCTTTTTCAGAAAGGGGTGAAGTTTGTCAGTTATACTATTTGTTGCTTCTTAGAAGTTGGTATACCTGATGAGTTTAATAGGTCAACTGTTGATTACTTGTTACATATGAAAAGGTAGATAATTATACTTTGATGCAACATCATTAATGAAATTTGAATTGGAGTGAAATTTTAGTGAATGACGAAATGTAAATAGTGGATGTTGAGTTATGAAGATGGCAGATGAGGTATGATTGATGAATAATGGTTATGGCAGATGAGATTAGTTGTTGCGAATTTCCCGATGGATGGGCTTTGAGAATTTATTATTGAATTACGGTCTTTTCTCATCTATCATTATAAGTAAGAATAAACAGTACATACCATTTGCATTATACATAAAATTATCAATATATAACAGTTTGTTTATTTATTTATTTATTTTCCAAGTACCAATTATTATATTATTAGTATTTGTTTCTATATATATTTATTAGTATCTATATATGAATGTCTAATTGTGCACTTGCATTATGATAATTAATTATGTGATGTACTTGCATTTAATTTTACTGCTTGATTACATGCATTATGATAATAATGTTCTTTGTTTGTGTGGAATTGAGATGAAGTGGGTCACCACGGTTTTGTGAGGGCTGTCTTGGATACCGTCGGCCGTGTATGGGGAGATCGGCGCCCCTGTGTGCAGATACCGTCGGCCAGTGTAATGTCTTGGATACCGTCGGCCGTGTATGGGGAGATCGGCGCCCCTGTGTGCATCTGATGATATGGATTATATGGAAACTATAGGGTGGCCTCCTATTGATTATGGAACAGAAAAGACAGAATGAAAAAAAAAAATGAGAGGGCTGGTCAAGTGAAGATTATATTAGACCAGTCGGCCATGTATGGGGATCGAATTCCTAGTGCACACATCATGAGAGGATGGACCATGTGTGAGGATAACTCATCAGGGGTTTCGGTGACGCCACAGACCAATTTCCACATGTTTGATTACTTGAAAGTGCGATTATTTGTGGGTGCTGATGATGTGTTATATGTTTGATTGGATGAGTGCTCATTTTAATATTTTACAAGTATTCGCTTGAATGCTTGTGTTGTGCAATAATTACTAATCATTATTAAACTCACATTTCATTTGTTAACTTTCCAGAAAGTAAATTCTTCTTTGTCCCGATAAAACTCTGTTTCCTTCACCGCAGAGCTAGAAAAGAAATTTTCTGATTTCAGTAACTAATTGATTAAATAATTATATGTACAAGAACTTATTTATATTTATCTGTAAGTGAACTCCGCAGTTGTAGGATTTATGTACCTCTAGTGATGTATTAAAATAGGTATAATATAATTTATGAACCCATAAATATTTTAATTAATTTTCTAAGTGCATGTATTAAGCGGTAGCCCATATTATGAATGTAGTATATTTAGTTATATATTTATACTGTAAGTTGAACTCCCGCAGATAATGAGTAGATTTTAGTACGCTCCTAGTGATGTATTAAATATACGGTATAAACTTACGACATATCGCATTTATGAAACACCATGAAAATATTATTAATTAATTTATGAACCCATAAATATTTTAATTAATTTTCTAAGTGCATGTATTAAGCGGTAGCCCATATTATGAATGTAGTATATTACAAATTGGGCCCGAACTATGAAATGATTAAGATGTTAAATTCAGGCCTAAGTATAATATAATTATGAGATTTATTTGTGCGCGGCAATATGGGCCAAATGTTTGAAATTCGTATTGACATGATTAAATTTAGTGGTTCAGGCTTACTACGGGTGTCAAGGGCCTTAAGCTTACTTGGGTCCTAATCTCTATCTGGCCCTTAGAAATGCGTTGTGACAAGAAGATAGCAGTCACCGTTGATAAACAGCAGCAGTTCCAAACTAAAACTAGGGTTACAAGGCTATAGAGAATATAGAGAAAAAAAAAATCTTATTTGGTTGATTATTTTGGTTTCCTACCTAAATCAGAATCTTATTTTGTTAAGAAATATACTTTTGAATATAATTTTGAGATCTGGATATATTTTACCTTTAAAATATTCTCATAACAAACAAATATTTGTAACTTGGATAGTACTGTAAGGATGCGATAAGGTCTTCATCTATATGGCTACTATCTTGCAGTAGGGATAATTTGAAGACCATTTTTTTTTTTATTTTTTTTAATATGAGAAAGAGGAATTCATCTATTTTTACCTTCACTGTTAGTATTATTATATAAGTATGTCTTTTGTGTAGGCTTTATCGTAGATTAAGTTCAAGTTGAATTTATAATATCTAAGTTTAATTTGCCAAGAAAATTAAATATCCATGGGATATCTACTCCCTAATTAATTGGATCAAATTCAGATTTATAAGTTCAAAGTTGAATTATAAATATCTTAAGTTTAATTTTGCAAGAAAATTAAATAATCCATGAAGATAACCACTACTCCTAATTAAATATGCGATGCAAAAATTCCCAGATTTTAGATCAAAATGGATCAATATATTAGGTTCAGGTTAAAAAATACAATAAATGAAATTAGATTGATATGAAAGCACATGCCTGCACGGTGCGTAAAATAATACTTTAATTTACGTAATATTTTATAGCATTCATATATTATTTTGAACGATATTTATAAATATAATTTTGAAGTTGTGTTGTGATATAATAGAATTTAACATTTTATAATAAAAGTTTATGCATGATACTTTATATTTGTTAACTTCCTACATAATAATTTAACTTAGACATAATGTTCTAAATATTATATTGTCATTATCATATACATGCACTATGTAATAAACCATAATAATATCTTTACAGTTTGATAATGCTATTTCTAGTAGAGTTTTATCAAAATATTTATTATCACACAAATGTAAATATATTTTTCAAGTTGAAAATGTATATATATGTTCGTTTTTGTCTTAGTTGGCACAATTTTATTTTAAATTTTTAACAATACAATTTTTTAAAAACCTAAAATATTTTTAAAAAATAATAATAATTAATAAAATTATTGATGAAATATACATATTTGATCCATATTTAATTGGAACTTTCTTGATCTGATAATTCACTAAATACTCATATCAGCGCCATTTCTTACCTTCTCTCCCTTCCGCTAGACATATTTTCTTCATCCTCCCTCTCTAAAATGGTGTCTAAATGAAGACCAAAAATCCCTTCTCGCCATTATCAAATTTGTCCCAAACCCTATCCAGAATTGGGTCTTTTCGCTTAATTTCATAATAATATTATCCAAGAATGCTCTTTAACTACCAGCAGATGCCTTGCCTAATTTTCGGCTTCATCGCTATTGGTTTTTTTGATTGGTTAGTTCTACAGTACACACGCCAGAGCGTAAAGCAAATCTTATTCATTCATATATATTGATGATGCTTTGGCTTCTTTCCATTTGATGCTTCATAGTAATCCTCACCAAACTATTGTGGAATTTAATAAATTTAATTATCTGCACTTTTCGAATGAAACGTTATGAGACTGTAATTTCTCCAGATGGAATTGTCTAGAATTTCTCTCGATCTTTATTCTATTAGTATTTTGACTAATTGCTTTTGCCATCTGGACCGCGTGGATTTTGGGTTCTCTCTTATTGGGAAAATCTTCAAACTTGGCTTTCAGCCTGACATTATAACGCTTAATACGTTAATCCATGGGCTTTGTAGAGAGGATAGATTTGATGAAGCTGTGGAATTATTTGATGAAATCGTTGCAAAAGTGTATAAACCTGATATTTATACCTATACTGTCATTGTGAACGGTCTGTGTAAAATTGGGAAAACCAATGTGGCCTTTGGTATTCTGTGTGGCCTTTGGTATTCTGAGAAGAATGCTTGAGGAAGGTTGTGAACCTAATGTGGTGTCATATAATGCTATCATTGACAGCCTTTGTAAGGATAGATTGGTGACTGAAGCTTTGCAGCTCTGCTTGAAAATGAAGAGTGAAGGCATCTCTCCGAGCATTGTGACCTACAACTCTTTAATCTATGGTCTGTGCAATTCAGGCCGATGGGAAGAAGCTTCTATGCAGCTCAATGAAATGTTGGATGCGAACATCGCACCAGATTTAATTACCTTCAACATATTGGTTGATGGACTTTGTAAGGAAGGAAGGGTTTCCAAAGCTCATGGCATAGTCAAATGGATGATTGATGATGCAAAGAGGATAAAGACGCCTGATGTTTGTGACTTACAAGCTATTTTTAATCTTATGGTCACTGTGCAATTTAGGCAGAATGGGAAGCAGGCTTCTATTGAAGCTCAATGAAATGTCGGAAGCGAACATCGCACAAGATTAATTACCATTCACATATTGTTGATGGACTTTGTAAGGAAGGAAGGGTTTCCAAAGCTCATGGCATAGTCAAATGGATGATTCAAAGAGGAATAAAGCCTGATGTTGTGACTTACAGCTCTTTGATGCACGGATATTGTCTACTCAACCAAATGGATCAAGCTAGGGAAGTTTTTGACACGATGCTAAGCAAGGGTGATACACCTAATGTTGTTACCTACAGTATGTTGATTGACTGTTACTGTAAGAGAAAAAGGATAGATGAAGCGATGAGGCTTCTTTATGAAATGTCTTGCAAAGGATTGATTCCTGATCATGTCACTTATGGTTCTCTTATAGGTGGCTTGTGTAAAGCGAAGAGCCCTCAGGCTGCATATAAGTTTTTCAAAACCTTGTGTGCTAGTGGCCATTCTCCAAATGTGGTAACTTACTCGAGTTTGATAGATGGCTTTTGTAAGCATCGGTGTCTAGATATGGCGTTGACCCTATTTCATCAAATGCAAAAGAATTTATTGAAGCCCAATCTTATTGTCTATAATACCTTAATTAATGTATAATACCCGTTATATTAATGGTATGTTCAAAAAGTTGGAAGTTGAAAGAGCAAGGAACTGTTTTTCTAGACTTCCATAGAAAGGGTTGCAGCCCGAGATTTCAGCATAGCAATAATAATGGGGCAGTCATTTTTTCCACATTGGATGACCAACACCCTTGAAAATGCCTCAAAAAAACAAATCAATTTTGGACTTTGTAAAGAAGGATTTACTAAGATGAAGCATTCAAGGTTTCAGGAAAATGGAAGGGAATGGTTTGCTTTGGCCAAATAGTTGCTGCTTATAACTGAAATTATCAGGATGTCCTCTGCAATAATGATTTGGATCCAATGGCAAACCAACTATTTGATGAAATGGTTTTGGCAACGGGGTATCTCCGCGGAATGCCACGTACCATGGAGTTGGTAATGAATTTATGATGAAATGGTTGGCAAGGGGTTCTCCGCGGATGCCACTACCATGGAGTTGGTAATGAATTTAGTTTTGAACAAGCCTGATGATCCTCTTGTGCAAAAGTTGCTAAGCTGCTCTAAACATTCTCAAGGTGTAAACTTGATGTGAGATTTTAGGATAGAACAACTGTTATACTGTTGCAAGAGGTTTTTGTCATATTTCTAGTTATGCCACTGCAATTTGTCTCAAAAACATGTTCTATTTTCTTCCATTCAATCTTTAAATGATGGTTGAATTCAGTATTTTTTGCAATTCAATATTTGTATCAGACTTCTGCAATTCTTCTTGTGTTAGTCGAAGAATTCATTATTTATGCATACATAAAGAAAACTCAGTAATAAAGCAAACATACTCATTGCTTGACAGTCAAGTGATCCTTTTCAAGTTTCATTCTTCATGAGTTCAGGTCCACCAAACACTACTGCTCTGTTTTATTTCGATTAATATTTTGGTTGTTAAAATTGTACTTAGTGTGATTGAGTTGCATAACCTTCTGCTTCAAAATCGACATTGAAGCACAAAAACTGGGCGTTGGTTTGCAATATGGTCGATAAATGAGTGGCTCTTCAGTATGACTAGAAAGTGTTTGATGAAATGTCTGATACAACTTCAGCCACTGGTTCTTCATACAAGGTTTTATTGTCTACTCAACCACAGTTAGTTCATTACTGAAAACCAAGAATGTCTTCCATTAAAAGTGGATTTGGTGCCTCTTCTCAAGAGAAAGAGCTAATCTTGCTAATGAATGAGCTACTTTATTATCCTCCCTAACTACATGTGAAATTAAAATGGAGTCGCGCTGATTCAAGAGCATGCAACAGTTTAGAATTCGAATCCCCAAATCTGACCTTTACACTGTTCAAATCCGTAAGCTGAATACCAAGGATTGACAGTGTGATTCTACCTCAATAACTCGAATCCATCCCAGCTCTAAGGCCTTTGAGACAGCAAAAGAGACAGCCTCTATTTTGGCTTCTTCAAGCGAAGGCACATGAGAACACTTGTGAGAGCGACTAGCCATTATGTCACCATTTGAGTTTCTTATAACCATTTCATAGCCAATTCTCCCATCAGCACCAAGCGCAGCATCACAATTCACTTTCATCACAATTCACTTTAAAATACCTTCTGCTGGTGGTTTCCACCGAACATTCTTGCCAACTGTGCTGCTACCCAATTGGCCCTGCTGTTGTCCTGGTAATCAGGCCATAGAGAGCTTGTCCCACCACCTGCACTTCATTGAGCTTCTTTTGTTGGTGCAGTAGCACGTTCCTCCCCCTCCAAATGGACCAGGATATCATAAACGAAATTTCCATCTGCTCAGGCTGAAAATGTGCAGAAACTGACTTGATTCACTCCAACACTGACCCTGCATTCGAAGATGGCCTTGGTCTCAGTGAGCACAAAAGCCAAATTCGTTGAGATTTTGGGCAGTTAACGAGGATATGAAGTGTCTTTTCTTCCTCCTCCCCAGACCAATCACAAACAGAATCCACATCAACTTTTTGCCGAATCAATTCCACTTTAGTTGGGAGAAAATTTTTACACACTCGAAACATAAAGTGTTTTAACTTTGGGCGAAACATTCTGTTCGCAAAGGAGCTTCCAAAAGGCGTTATTCGGGAGCACATATGAGCTAGCAATGTCACACAAAATTTTTGAATGAAAAGCAATGTGATAAGAAGTTTTAACAGAGTAAAGGCCATGTCTAGTAGCTAGCCATGTAAGGAGGTCGGAATCCCAACTCGAATTGAGAGGAATACTACAAATCTCCATAGCTTCATGAGGCTCGAAAATAAACTCAATAAGGGTAATATCCCAATAACTCGTTTCAAGCATAGTAGGGGCTGAATGAACCCGAAATTCCGGTTGTCTCGTGTCTAGTGTTTATGCATACTTAATGAAAACTCAGTAGTAAAGAATACATACTCATTGCTTGACAGTCAGGTGATCCTTTTCAACTATCATTCTTCATGAATTCAGGTCTACCAAACACCACTGCTTTGTTTTATGTTGATTAGTACTTTGGTTGTTAAAACTATACTTACTGATTGAGTTCCATAGCCTTCTGCTTTGAAATCGACATTAAACAAGCACAAAAACTGGGCCTTGGTTTGCAAAATGGTTGATAAATTAAGTGGCTATTCAGTTGATAAATGGTTGATATGTCTGATACAACTTCAGTCACTTGTTCTTCATACAAGGTTTTATTTTTGGGTTGGAAAAGGCTTGCCGTTTTCCACTGGCTGTCAAGAAATTTTTGTTTTGGCTATGTAAAATTTGATTTTGATTTGGTACAATTTTACAATTTGAGTTAATAATATTTCGTCAGTAAATATTCATATTAAATATTATTTTCTCTTTTCAGTATTCTATTAGATTTAATATGTTTGAAAGGAAGTGATATTTAGTGGAATATTTAATATAATATTTTATTTTATTTGATCAATAAATAAATAACTAGGAAATAACTAGGGAAGCCATTACAGGAGGAGAATTACTGGATTAGACCAAAAAAAAAAAAAAAAAAAAAAAAATAATGATTAACTATAATAATGATAAATTACCTTCTACATTATTGCTTAAAAATAAATAAAATATTATTATTATGAAAAATATTTGATTTTTTTTTTGAAAATTTAATTCGTTAATAATAATATTAAGAATTACAAAAATTCTCATATAAAACTTTATTAGTAGCTAATAGCCCTTTTTGCATTTCGCAGAAAAGGGAGAGATGCATTGATGTATTTTTTTATTAGATTATTAGATTATGATCCATCGAGACTGACGGGCTCGAATCGGCAACTTCCGCCTTGATAGAACGGTGCTCTGATCAATTGAGCTATAATCCGAGGGAAATGCAATAAAGTGTACATCGTACATCCATTAGAATATTTAAACTTATTTCTTGTCTTTGAATAGAAGATATAAGCATTTCTTGTGGATTTGTCAGTCTAAGCAGGAGACAATATACTTTGATATTATTGATTATTTTTTTTATTTAAAGAATCATTCCATCTTAAATGAAAACATAAATACTGTTTTAGGAAGAAATCAAACTCTAACTTCCATATGACTTTTGTTTCGATTGCTCGTTCGAGAACTATGGTCTTTGGATCTGGAACTGGAACATTTCCTTGTATCTGAGAAAAACTTCCAAATTAATAGGTTGTGAATCTTCAAGTACTGTCTTATTCAATATTTTTTCAATTACTCTTCTACCGCAAATGCAATATAGGCATTTGTGACATTCCGACCCGGCAAAGCGATCCTAAGAGGGCGGGTAGAGCGAAGCTCCTGACTAGCTTCTAGGATGGCAGGCTAGCTAGGGGGCTAGCTAGGGTAGTGGGAATGCGAGACACAGGATTGAATCGATCATATATCGAAAAGGGGGAAACTAATCATTAGAGGCGCCTTTGGTTGTTTGTAATGGCTGGAGAGTTGGAAGAACTCCCAGGGGTTAATAAGCGTGCTCGCTTAACAGAAATCTCAGGATGGGTGACCTCCTGGGAAGTTTCCCATTTCACCTGCGGGACAAAACCGTGCGGGGTAGGGCATGCGGGGACTACACTGAGGTGTAGGGCGTCCGTGGACTACACCAAAGCAGTCAATTCCTCTAGTGATTAGAGTTGGGGCGTGACATTTGGTATCAGAGCCTGACCCCCTCCAGTAGATGTATGGTTCGAGGACAAACCACGCGGAAGCTGGCGGGCCTGTGACATCCCGACCCGGCAAAGCGATCCTAAGAGGGCGGGTAGAGCGAAGCTCCTGACTAGCTTCTAGGATGTCAGGCTAGCTAGGGTAGTGGAATGAATGTGTGACCACAGGAATGATCGAATCATATATCAAAAAAGGGAGAGGGAAAACTAAGCATTAGAGGCCCTTTTGTTTGTAATGGCTGGAGAGTGGAAAAACTCCAGGGTTAAGTGTGCAGGGTTAAGTGTGCTCGCTTAACAGAAATCTCAGGATGGGTGACCTCTTGGGAAGTTTCCTATTTCACCTGCGGGACAAAACCGTGCGGGGTAGGGCATGCAGGGACTACACTGAGGTGTAGGGTGTCCGTGGACTACACCAAAGCGGACAATTCCTCTAGTGATTAGAGTTGGGGCGTGACAGCGTTAGGTTCAACAATAATGATATCCCCCAACATATCAAAACTAGTTCCTGATCATGATTTTCCTACCTCCAAAAGCTAAGGTCCTTCCCTTTTTGGCCGCTTGTGGGGAAGGAGGGATTCGAACCCCCGACACCATGGTTCATAGTCACGTGCTCTAATCCGCTGGTAATTTTTTAACGAAAAAAATGAATTCATATTCTTTTGAATAATGACATTAAAATTAAAAAAAAATATAATACTAGATTTTTTCTGCTTATAATTGACCTTGACAAAAGATATAAATCTTCATAGCAATAACTAGTCCATTAATTGATTTGGACAAAAAAAAAAAAAAAAAAAAAAAAAAAAACTTCTCTAGGATTCTTCTAACTTTCAATTGTTTTGAATAATTTACAACATATGACGAACCATATTTTGAGTTCCTTACCTC